GTATTCTCCTAACTGTTAGGCAGGGCTAGAATGTTTGATTGATAAAGAAATGCAGCTTTTTGACCAAAAGGAGCTTCTCTCTCTCTCTCTCTCCTGATTTTCCTGCAACGCTTAATGCTTGCTTGTTATTAAATGTAGTATGTCTTATAATCTTTGTCAGTTGTTTACACAACATAGATGATTTAATTGATTAACCTCTCAATTACTGAGTGTAGAAAGTCTTTACTGATGAAAATATTGGTTTTGTTCAATTATTTGAAAATATTTTGGAATGGTTGCAGGATTATCACTCAAATCCCAAGAACTAACAGCTATCTTTTTAGCTGTTAGGTTGTACTGCAGCTTTGTCATGGAATACGACATTCACACCCTACTTGATTTAGCCACGTTGGCTACAACTTTGTGGGTTATTTATATGATCCGTTTCAAACTGAAGTCCAGCTACATGGAAGACAAGGACAACTTTGCGATATATTATGTTGTGAGTTTTTATCAGTCTTATTTGCAGTTATATTTATGCTGTTCTGTCCTACAAATTGTTGGGTTTAGAGTTGAATCCTACGAGCTTTATCTCCAGTGTTTCCTTGTTAAGAGGTGGTCTTGTTTTCTTGTAAAGCTTATTCTCTCAATATATGATATTCATGTAACGTTGATATAGAATATATCCATGCTTACTGAGGCAAATTGCTGCAATATCTGCATACTAAAAAATATAGATCTCCTTTCCTTCAAATCTGTTTCTTAAATAAAAGATCTACTTAGTTTTGACTTGTTTTGTTCTTTCTTCTTTTTCGTGTATAGTCTTCTAACTGTCTCTATTCAGCTGTAATTTGTCTTCAGTTTCCCTTGGTGCTTGTTTGTTTTAAATACCACTTTGAAAGACACCTTATACCTCACTCTTCTTGTTTTGATTCAGTAGATTCTATCTTGTAACCAATTAGATTCTCTGTTCCTTGAGTTGTTTTTTAAACATATTCTAGAAAAGTAGAAATAATCCCCTTGCTTTTGAATTTTGATTCAGGTTGCCCCTTGTGCAATACTAGCTCTGTGTATTCACCCATCAACTTCTCATAATCTAGTAAACAGGATTTTCTGGGCATTCTGCGTGTATCTGGAAGCTGTTTCAGTTTTACCTCAGTTGCGAGTGATGCAAAATACTAAGGTAAAAATTACTTAGATGGTAGATATACTTTCATAAGGTTCATAAATATACCATCTTTAACTCATCTTCTTTTTGTGTTTTCAGATTGTTGAGCCTTTTACAGCTCATTATGTATTTGCCTTGGGTGTTGCAAGGTTCCTCAGCTGTGCTCACTGGGTTCTACAGGTTTGATCTTTTGACATTAAGGGTCTGTTTGTTTGGCTGTAATTGGTTTTCTGGAAATTGAATTACTTTAATTTGAATTCTGGAAAATGAATTACATTTCTGGAAAATGTTTTCCGTAAAATGAATTATATTTTTCTGAAAAACATCTGGAAAACATTTTAGGATGTTCGGAAGATGTTGTTTAAACCTTTTTTTCCACTTGTTGATGAGTTTTTTAAAAATTATTTATTACAAATATTAAATACAATAAATAATATTATTTATCATAAAACTTAATATTGTTATTTTTAAAATATTAAAATAATTTATTTATTATTATTATTTTTATAATTTTATTAATAAAAATATTAATATTGGTATATTTTATTGAAATAAAATATTATAAATTATATTAATTATTTATTAAAGTAATAGTGTTATATTATATTTTAAAAATATTAATTAGTATATTTTAAATATCTTTATTAAAATATTATTAGATTATTATATTAATATTAAATATATAAATAATATTATTCATTATTAATAATTTAATAATATTATTTCTATGAAATTAATAAATAATATAAATTTTATTAATAATTTATTATATATTATTAAAATAAAAAATAATCAATTATATTATTATAATATAATTGATTATTTTATTAGAATATTAAAAATATTATATTATATTATTAGAAATATTAATAAATATATTTTAAATATTTTAATAATTAATATTTTGATTAAAATGATATTAAAATATTTTATTAATATTAAATTCATAAAATAAAATTATTTTGAGTATTTATTCTTTGAAGTGAAAAGCTTGAAAAATGACTTATGGAAAATCAGACCATAAGTCATTTTCTAGAAAACACAAAAGATATTCTGTTGACCAGAAAAATATTTTACGATGACCAACCAGTTTTCCTCTAACCAAACACTGAAAAACATTTTCCGGAAAACGAATTACGTGAAACAAACACGGGATTTCGGGGAAAACCAATTACGGAATTGGTTTTTCCCCAAACAAACAGACCCTAAGTTGAACTTGATCAGGTTTCAGTTAGTCAAGTATTAACATTAGCTATTTTGAAATTGAAACTCATTTTGATCATTAAATGGATACCAGTCTGTTTGTTGTAAAATTTACCTACTTTGGAAAATAATAAATAGACAGCTTTGACCTGCATGATGAAGGATCCTGAAGGTTGGATTGAACATTTATTGCCTAGAATGAAGCTGGTTTTTGCGTGTAGATGTCGATGTCATTTTCATTAGCCACATTCGGTTTTAACATATGTATTTCTGTGTAGAGGGGAAGCTTTGTATGATACTGGTTTGAGAAATGTTATTGTGAATCATTACGGGGGTGATTGTTTTAAGATGTTAATTCATTCTCTACTCCTTTCTACAGGTTTTAGACAGCCCGAGGACGCTTGCTGGTAGCCCTGGGTTATGGATTGTGGCCTTCTATGGTTCTTATATCGGAAATTGTTCAAACTTTCATTTTAGCAGACTTCTGTTACTATTATATCAAGAGGTCGTTTACAACCTTTGTAATGTGGAACTAAGTATTATAGTCCGACTACATATCAGTGTTTTACTTACATAATCATTTATGCTTTTGCAGTGTCTTCGGTGGGCAGCTTGTTCTCCGTCTCCCCTCAGGTGTGGTATAAGTGAAGATGCTGTTTTTGCTGCGGTCCATGAGGTGGCTGCCGAAAAAAGCATAACTTGTTTACAAATGTGACTTGTTGTCCTTGTTTAAGTTCTGGTTTTTGCTCTCGACACATTTCTTGTGACTGCAAATTAGTGGACTGTAATTTTCGGGATGCAGTAACTTTGAGCAGATGTTTGTAGGGAAAACATTTCATAGATGGATTAGTGTTTGATGTCAAATGCCTAATCTGTTTGCTTATATAAAGTTATTTATTACAGACAATTCCTACATGTGGAGGGTGAAGAAAGTTCTACCTTGCATTATAAAAATTTTCATTCATGGCAGGAGTATTATTTATACATTAACAAATGTAGATGTCCTAAGTAATTTCTATTGTTAAATGAAGGCCGGCATCACCTCTGGTGCTGTCGATGAAATAATTCTTGACAGTTGTGTTGGGACGGGTTATACTGGATATGGTTATATTGCAGTGAAGGGTTTTATTGCTAACCTTTTTTGCAAGATTCGTCAAATGATCCATGCAACGGTTACCCTCGCAGAGAAGATGATGGATCTGGATAACCTAATCTCCCTGCGTTAGTGCTAAACAATTCTTAATCAATGTGTCCGATGAGTACTCAACCTGAAAAGGACGGCTGTGCATATAAACCACAATAAGTGCATCAAGTTCCACGATCAATCACGACAACCCGATTTCTTTAGCTAAACACAGACCTTACCCAACACACCAAAGCTATGCATTCACCCGAACTCCATCATAAAGCCTAGAATCCAAGCTCCATTTTTTTATCTCGCAGAAGACCACCAGCTGCCGAAAGGGGTGTCATCCAAATTGAGCAACATCACTCCCAGCCAATGGTGGATTTAGAAATTTGAAAATGGAAGTCTAAAATTTTAGTACATTTATTTTTAAAAAATTTGGTAAACTTTCTTATTTTTTTTCATTATCCCCTTAACACATTAGACTAGTTTTTATATATTTTTTAAATAATAAGGATGCACTTGGCCCCCTAGGAGCTTAGTGCATCCACCCATGCTCTCCGCTATGTTGTCATTATCTTCTATTTTATAGGATCTTAGCTTTGTTTCCTAGCAAATAATATTCCAGGCTATTCATTATAAATATCTTAGGAGTTGTTTTCATCATTTCTTATCTTGGAAATTCGCTCACTGGACATAAATCTCAAGTGATTTGGCATAGGGAGGGGATGTTGAGACACCTTGGAAAACTTGTGTTTCGGCTTTTCCAAAGCACAACAACCAAAAACATTCCCCATGCTACCTGTACTGTACAGAAGACAAACTTCGCAACCAAATATGAACATTGATTTGTGTTAATTTTATCATCATACTTGAACAAGGTCTTTCCTACTTTACACCATAAAATTGTTCAAGTGTATTAATTTAAGGGTACGCTTCATTGAGGAATAAGGGCTTACCTAAAAAAGGATATTTTTTATCTAAGTATATTACATGAAACCAGTTTTTTTTTTTTTTTTTGTGAAGAAAAGAAACTATCATCGGCTAATTTGAAACGAACATGATCCCATAAGTGTGGGGATTTGATCGAACTGAGGTATGATCTGCAATGATATTGAAGTTCATGCAAATATCCAATTTTTAAGTTTAAAAAGTCAAATGCTCCAGCCTAGCAGCCACATAAAGAAATAAATCAATTGCACCACTTCTCAACCTCAACCTCTTTTAAAATTCAACACGTATGATTTGCACACTATATACTAATAATTATCTAACTGGAAATGCTAAACTCGCAAGCATAAAATTTATAAGTTATGGAGTGCATATCAAAATATCTTCTGTAAAGGTTCCTGTAGCAGACGCATGAAGGAACTTTAGAATTAAAAGGAATAAAATAATATATAGCAGCCAATATATTTTAACTTTCTTCTTGTTCAAACTGATGATCCTTGCCTATATATTTGGATAACAACATGTGCAGTTTCATGCAGCAAAACGGGGATACATTTAACACAGAAAAGGGCTTGAGCCGATAGAGTTAAATAAAAAGATGGCAGGAAATGGGATTGTTGCAGATGAAGAAAACATCTATAATGACAATAAAGTCCAGCCTCTTGCCTCTACTCCAACGTAATTATGCACCGAATTTCTTTTACTTCATTTTGAGGCCTAATTATGTTTAAGTTAGGTTAAAGTGTCTTTCATTTTTGCAGGCCAGGGAAATTTAAGGAAGAAGTACCAGAGGAAAAAATCCCATTATCGACCAAGATGTTAGGCCTTGAAGACCTTTCCTCCTTGGAGGTTAGTGCATGAATTGCTAGATATTAATTTGTTGTTAAATTTTAAGTTGACATGCATTGTTTAACAATCAAAATGGTGTTGGATCATAGGTATGGAGGGCTTCTTTGGCAGAGCTTCTTGGCACAGCGGTGCTGGTTTTTGCATTGGACACCATTGTTATCTCGACATTGCAGACCGAAACAGAGGTACCCAACCTTGTGATGTCCGTCCTGATCGCCTTCGTCGTTGCGGTTCTCCTCCTAGCTACTTACCCCATCTCCGGAGGCCATATCAATCCGATTGTTACGTTTGCTGCTTTACTTACCGGCCTGGTTTCGGTTTCCAAAGCCGCCATATACATTTTGGCTCAATGTGTTGGTGGCATACTAGGTTCACTAGCACTCAAAGCCGTGGTTAACAGCGGCATCGAACGAACATATTATCTGGCAGGGTGCACCGTGACTGTTGTTGTACCGGGCGAACATGGTCCAACCGTGATCGGCCTGGGGACGAGTCAGGCCCTTTGGCTTGAGATAATTTGTGCCTTTGTGTTCCTTTTTGCTTCAGTGTGGATGGCTTTTGATGGTCGCCAAGCTAAGGCTGTGGGGCGAGTTCAAATATGTGTTATATTGGGAATAGTGTTGGGTCTTTTAGTGTACATTTCAACTGCGGTTACTGCAACAAAAGGCTACGGTGGTGCCGGGCTGAACCCGGCTCGATGTTTCGGTCCAGCTGTTGTTAGAGGAGGCCACCTTTGGAACGGACACTGGATATTTTGGATTGGACCGGCCATTGGGTGCGTGGCGTTTGCTCTATATGTTAAAATGATTCCACGTGAGCATACTCACAGCTACTGATTAAACGAACAAACATTGGTGATAGTCAGAGAGGTGTAAATGAATCGAGCTTAAACGAATAAGGTTATATTCATGTTTGTTTGTTTATTTTTTAATGTGTTGTGTCCGGTTCGTGTTCGTTTAAATTTATAATATCGTGTTCGTATTCGTTTATTTATTTCTGAAGGTGTTCATGTTCGTTTATTTATTATTCGCGAACATGTTCATTTAATCTTCATAAACATGTTCATTTAGCGTTCACAAGCATATTCGTTTAATGTTCAATTAGTGTCCGTTTAGTGTTTGTTTATTATCGGTTTATATATTCAATTTTTAGTTTTATCCTTTCATTTGTAAGCTAAAGAAAAATGATAAAATTACACCACTAGTGCTTAAACTCCTTAAAATCCACAATTTAAATTTCAACTTTTATCATGTGTTCAATTAATCTCTACCTTCACCAGTATTTAAAATGTAAAAAAAAAAAGAGAAGTGGATAAACAAGCTTGTTCATGAACATAAATGAATGAGTCGATAAACGAACATATAAACGAGCTTGTTCGTGAACATAAACGAATCAAACACACGTCTGTTCATGTTCTCGTTTATTAAATGAACGTAAAAAAATTGTTCATACTCGTTTATTTAACTTAACGAACGAGCATAATACAAACGGTTCACGAATAGTTCATCAAACGCTCTGTTCATTTACACCCATATGCATAGCTTATCCCTAAATATTTTGCCTTTGAAAATGTAATTAATAATAAAATAGCACGAGGTCCGTTTTAGCTAATTATATTAGCTTTCAAGGACACAAGTTGCTTTCATCTTACTTGCAAGTTAAAGTTATTGTAATAATATAATTTATTTCATTGGCAAAACCGATGGAATTGCACAGAAATAACTTAAGCTACTGGTAATTTTCATAAACCAAAATCGATGGCGTATATTTTCCTGAAAAATAAAAACGATTTTGTAGAGACAATGTATGATTTCGATCGATGACATGTGAGGTAAGAGACGAAGAGTTAGGTTACTTTAATAAAGGCACAATACCAAAAATAAGCCTCAGCATTTATTAATAAATAATCATTTTGACCTCTATTTTCTTTTTTTTTAGAACATTTTGACGCCCAACGTTTCACTTTGGGGCAAAAAACTCCCTCTATAGATGAAAATTATTACTTAATACACGATTAACGCTCTAAACTAAGAGTTTTTTTTAACTTAAAATGAAATGTTCATGGCTAAAATGCATTAAAAAAAAGGGGACAAAATAACTATTATGTCAAATGTTAAGGGTCTTTAAATAAAATATTAGAGCCAAAATACTCTAAAAGATAGAATATATGACAAAATGATCATTTTAATAAACGTTGAGAACTAATTTTAATATTATACCTTTAAAAAAAACCTTTAGACACCACCAAAAACGTTGTTTGACTGCAGGCATTTTGTCCGTAAAAATTAATTTAGGGGTGAATCTAGGGGACTAGTAGAGCCTCCGGTCCCTTCTAAATAGGAAAAAAAATGGTTTGACTCCTTTAATATTGTTATAATTTGATACAATATCAAATTTCATTTCATCTCCTAGATTGATAAAAATGCATTTTTATTTGTTAAAATTCTAAAGATGTAAATCAATATAATGATAAAATTGTGTTGACTAAAAATATTATAATTCGATTATGATAAAAATTTAAGGATGAAGTCTTAAGAGATGACGAACTTATAGAATTCTAATTAGAGTGAAAATAAATTATCAATAAAAATACCAAAAAATATTTAAAATATATAATAACTTAAAATTTTAAGGAAGTGACGGCTTTCAACCGCTCGTTTCGATGTATCTCTATACATACAAGTTGTAATGAAACGCATCAATTAATGGTTCTTGATAAGTCATTAGATGGATAATGCTTTAAAATGTTCTTTTATGTGACTTAAATTGTTTATTGAGGAATAAGGGACTTATCTAAGGAAAGGTATAGTAATTTGGATTTTATAATATATTACGTGAAACACGTTTTTCGTCAAGAGGGGAATAGAAATTCTCATAGGCTAATTTGAAACGAACATGATCCCACAACTGTGTGGGGATTTGACCGAACCCATGTATATATGATATGTAATAAAATAATTGCACCAACTCTTAACCTCAATCTCTTTTAAAATTCAACACGCATGATCTGCACAAGTCATAAGTAGTATAATATATATCTAACTGGAAATGCCAAACTAACAAGCATAAGAATAATTATAAAATGCACAAGTTATGGAGTACACATCAAAATATATTCTGAAAAGGATACTGTAGCAGAAGGATGAAGGACCTTTGGGATTAAAAAAATTGATATAATATAATATAGTATAATAATGACTTAATTGTAAAATAAGTGTTCAAAATATAATTTTTATCTGTTTTAAGAGTATAAACTTTTTTTTATCAATGTAGAAGTTTAAAGTTTTTCGTTACTATTTTAAGGTCAATATTGTCACAATCGTTAAAAAATTTCTTCAACTACACAATATGTGTTACCTTTATAAATTTTTTATTTAAAATAATTTAGAATTATTATTATTATAAAAATATTAAATCTTTCTAAAATTCTAAAAAAAATCCTAAAATCTTTATTCTCTAATCCCAAATCTTACTATTGTTGTCGACAGTCACTGTCGTCGTCTGACCCTCTACTGTTAATTATCCCCTTATCATCACCTCAATCTCTAAACTTAACTCCTTAAATCTCCTTAAACCCTAAATTCATAAGCCTAATACCTAAATCCCTTCCAACCGCCCCTTCTCCCTTCCCTCAAAAATTCATCGTTGGCCAAGTTCTTTTGTCACACCCCCATTATCATCATACTCCTATTTTGTTTACTCATTTTTCTTTTTTTCTTGTCGATAATTGTTCGTCTACACATCTGTCAACGTCATTCGACCTACATCATTCACGAAAAGGACATCAGTGGTGGCTAATTTCAATGGCAAAAGATGAGATTTAGGGATTAGGGATTATATATTTAGGTTTTAGAAATTTTAAAATTAGAGTTTTATGAATTTTTATGGAAAATACAATAAATTATGTTTTCCAAAAAAATAGAGGAAAATAAAAATTAAGTCACATCTCAAACAATGATTGATCGATTAATTTTTAATGATTTCTTTTAACAACCGTGATAGAAATGACTTTAAAATAATAACAAAAAAACTTTAGGCACTAATTTGATTTAAAAAAAAACCTTAAACTCCAAAATAAAAAATAGATAAAGTGTTGATCACTTATTTTTCAATTAATCTTAAAATAATATACTACAGCCAATATATTTTAACTTTCTGATTGTTCAGCAGTCATGATTCCCTGGGTATATATATGGATAACAAGATGAATAGTTTCATGCAGCAAACAGATACATTTAACAGAAAAAAGGGTTTGAGCCGATAGAGTAAAATTGAAAGATGGCAGGGAATGAGATTGTTGCAGATGAAGAAAACATCTATAATGACAATAAAGTCAAGCCTATAGCCCATACTCCAACGTAATTATGCATCGAGATTGGTTTACTTCATCTTGAGGCCTAAATCATGTTTAAGTTAGGTTAAAGTTTCTTTCTTTTTTGCAGGCCAGGGAAATTTAAGGAAGAACCCGAGGCAAAAGTCCCATTATCGACCGAGGTGTTAGGCCTTGAAGACCTTTCCTCGTTGGAGGTTAGTGCTTGAATTGCTATATGCTTAATTTGTTGTTAAATTTTAAGTTTCCATGCATTGTTTAACAATCAAAATGGTGTTGGATAATAGGTATGGAGGGCTTCTTTGGCAGAGCTTCTTGGCACAACGGTGCTGGTTTTTGCATTGGACACCATTGTTATCTCGACATTGCAGACCGAAACAAAGGTACCCAACCATGTGATGTCCGTCCTTATCGCCTTCGTCGTTGCGGTTCTCCTCCTAGCTACTTACCCAATCTCCGGCGGCCATATCAATCCGATTGTTACGTTTGCTGCTTTACTTAACGGCCTGGTTTCGATTTCCAAAGCCGCCATATACATTTTGGCTCAATGTGTTGGTGGCATACTAGGTTCACTAGCACTCAAAGCCGTGGTTAACGGCGGCATCGAACGAACGTATTCACTAGCAGGGTGCACCGTGACTATTGTTGTACCGGGCGAACATGGTCCAACCACGATCGGCCTGGGGACGAGTCAGGCCCTTTGGCTTGAGATAATATGTGCATGTGTTTCTTTTTGCTTCAGTATGGATGGCTTTTGATGGTCGCCAAGCTAAGGCTGTGGGGCGAGTACAAGTCTGTGTTATATTGGGAATAGTGTTGGGTCTTTTAGTGTACATTTCAACTACGGTTACTGCAACAAAAGGCTATGGTGGTGCCGGGTTGAACCCGGCTCGATGTTTCGGTCCAGCTGTTGTTAGAGGAGGGCACCTGTGGAATGGACACTGGATATTTTGGATTGGACCGGCCATTGGGTGCGTGGCTTTTGCTCTATATGTTAAAATGATTCCACGTGAGCATACTCACAGCTACTAATTAAACGAATTAGTAACATTGTTTCTTGGTTATATAAGTGTTGAATTGTTGTTGTTGTTGGAAAAAATACATGTTGAGTGTAGCTTATTCTGGAATATTTGCATGTTCAAGTTATTGTAATAATATAATAAATGTCATTGGGTAAATAACATTTAATACTTAAACTTTGATATTTTTCTAATTTGGTCTCTGAATAATTTAGAATTAATTACACAAAAAACCTTCAAACTACAACACATATTAGATATCATCCTCAAATTTAAAAAAAGTAATTTTGATATTGAAATTCGAACTAAATTTAAGAGCTGTTGTGATTGAAACTGATAAGGAAATTTGATTTTTAATCGAGCAAGGTAAAGACAGAGATTTTATCTCTCTTCGTTCTATACATTGTTGAGCTTCTTCGATTACATTAGAGGTTAAAATTGTGTAATATATCTCGTGACGGAAATAAGGTGACAGACGACGTGACAAGATTAGCATGG